ATATGCAAATGAGCGCGCTCCCATAGAGTTAACCATGGGGATTTTCGCTCACTGAAAAAACGTCTACATACAAAAAAACTAAACACAAATCAACCATTTTATTTTGACTAAAATGCACTAGTTCTTCTTAAATTTTGTATATTTTAAAGTCAACACATCATGTTACCCGGAATTGTTATTTTTAGTTACGAAAACGATCAAATGACAGGTGCGTAAATACTTTCTGGCGGGTCTGTATAGCAAAAATCACTTTTATTGAAACCATGACTTTGTGTTATTAGGGGTCCAAGCCCTTTCAGGCCTGGGATCCTTTTGTTATCGCTGGAGTTTTTCTGCTTTCCGTCGTGCTAATTTTCGTCAGCTTGTTTGAGAAAACGGCTGAACGGAATGGTCTGAAATGCTCTATACTGATAGTCCTTAATGTGAACTGGTGCACCTATATACATGTAACTTTTGGAATTTTGATTGGTCAAATGGTTCAGCAGCCATATTGGATTGAAATTAAGCCGGAAGTGGATATTTGACCACTTTCAGAGGGTCTAGGCGTTTAGAAAAAGTTGACAGTGGAGCTAAAAAGTATAGTAAGATTGTTTTCAAGATTACCATACTATACAAAATAAGCAAATACAACACATGTGAAGTAACAAAATCTGGGCTGAAACATGATTACAAGAAAACTTGTCATCTTAAATAAATATTGCTTCTAGCTGTAATGGTCTATCCAGTTGAAATAACACCATGTCCCGTATTATAAACCATATTGTATCAAATTTGTGTGAAAGTATTTAATAAATGCACTTTGTTTAATGAATTGTTTTTGCTTCGCTTACCTTTGCTAAATGTGACTCTAGCATATAGACAAGCTTTGTAAATGATTCCTCCAGGTTACCAAGGCAACTGGCAACAGGATATGCTAAAGGATTCGCACCATTAATAGTCTGAAAACTAAAATTTCAATTAAAAATAAATTAATGTTTTTTTCTTTCTAAAAATACTTCTGTACCAGGCAACAGAGTTTGAACACTGAATACTATTAGCTGTTGCCGTGCCTTACTTATAAATAATTTGAAAGTGAAAATACAGTGTTTATAGATTTTTATACTACCGTACAATTAAAATCCCTATAGAATAGAGAAACTAGTTTCCAAAATCAAACGTTAAACACTATCATCACTCAAACTGAGAGTGATTAAGCCCAGCTGCAGTCCTGAAAATATTAAAAAAGTTAACCCAACTGATTTACAGTGTACTTAGTACGTTTTCAGACTTTCGGCCCAGCATTGCAAAAAAAGGTCGGTTTCTGATGGAATTCCACTTACAAACTTATAGGCTTGGTTATTCTAGTATCATATTGAATGTATTATTCCGGTAGTTTAAAAAATCTCTTGCAGAAAAAGGGGAGACCTTTGGGGTTGTTGGAGCACCTTTTACTCAAATTCTAATTGTAGTACGATACCTATAATGCATTTTGTCTTCCATTGTTTTTTTTTAAATTGTTAAACTAATGTGCATTCTTTTATGAACGACCAGTTTTTTTTTATTTGAAGAACATAAATTTGACAAAAAAGATCATGCCCCTGACAAGAAACTTGTTGGTGGAATAACGGCACCGAGGTTGTGGCCTGTAGCATAAATAGCTGCAGTAGAGTAGAACTTAGGGTGGCATGACACACAGATATGTCAAACATGTGCAGCCGAGCTTGGTATTTCTTTCATCTCGATGGAGTGGGATCAAGTGGAAAATCGGGAACAAAAGTGTTCATATGTATTCAGGCAAATTCTGTTCAACTAAGTACAGAATGAATTCCTCGCTTGTAAACATGTAATTTGAGATTAAAACCTAATGTAGGACACGATTTTTAGCCGATAAAAAACATTTCAACCTCAAAAGTCAATTGAATTTAAAATACCAAATAAATTATACTGGCCTTGTAACTAATTTTTAAAAAAAAAATTATTGAATATCTTTTACAAAATATTTATCACGCCTTGTAAGGAACGTTAAGTCAATTTGGTCTGAAATTTACGGGGAACTAATTATAATAATTTTACACCAAAATTGTAGCAGGACACATTATGCTGTTTAAAGAGTTTACACACATTTTTCCCCACAAAATTGTTGGTAAATATTTTACCATATTTTTTAATTTTTTCCAGTAATTTTGTTTATATTTTGAAAAGCTAAAGTTGAATTTTTGATAATCATGAAACAAATCCTTTTCCAAAACAAATGACTAACCAAATTTGATCTTGTTTGATTAGGGTGTTCAAAACAATCACAGCAATTCAATTTGCCAGACAGCGAAAATTCAGGTAAGATACAAAATAACTAAATTTTCCCCATAATGCAATGCACAAAATGGAGTATAAATAAACTAAAGACGCATACGTCACGATATTCGAGTTATTGTGCGCCTGGTATCCTAGTATCAAGGTCAATCTGACGTACCTTTCTACGTACTTGACTAATTTAGCGCATTCCTCCATTACCACTTCCTGTTCCTAATAACAAACACAGAGATGTCAAACAATTTTCACAAAATAAAATTATTCAATTTTTACAGCAAGAAATGTTTATTAAATTGATATTTTTTCTTATTGCAAATCAAAAGGCCATTGGCTCAAAGAGCAAATACAATTTCACTTAACAGTGATAACAATAAAAATCGTTCAAGTTATTAAATTGTTATGAATATTGGAGATCATAATGAATGTTCCACAGTTATCATACCGTCGTAAGTCACTGTGAACTGCTTTTTCGTGAGCGACAAATTCTCAGAAATTTCGTCACGAGTCAGTAAAAATTTCTTAGTGATAATTACTTTACTCTGTGGCATTGTGTATAAATTAACCTATTACATGTATTTGATAATATTTTTATCTGTGCTCTATGTGCTTTGCAATGAATGAATTAATTTTTGGAGGTTTGTATATCAATGGGAAACGTTACTGAGACAAATATTTTTGTGGCATTCCATGAAAAAGTGTAGTTCATCGTCTATTTCTTGAAAAGAACATTGATCATAAATTCCATTTTCCAAAAGTGTTTTGGGATTAGTATGTTTTCCCCTTTTTCAATTTTCAAGTTACTGGTATGTTTGCTTGTTCTGAATTTGGCTACTGAAATTCTTTGTTTTGGATTCAGAATAAGTATTCTTCAAAATTGTATTTTGTTTTAAATTTAACTGTATTGTGTTTTAAATTAAACTGTATTGTGTTTTAAATTAAACTGTATTGTGTTTTAAATTAAACTGTATTTTGTTTTAAATTTAACTGTATTGTGTTTTAAATTAAACTGTATTGTGTTTTAAATTAAACTGTATTGTGTTTTAAATTAAACTGTATTGTGTTTTAAATTAAACTGTATTTTGTTTTAAATTTAACTGTATTGTGTTTTAAATTAAACTGTATTGTGTTTTAAATTAAACTGTATTGTGTTTTAAATTAAACTGTATTGTGTTTTAAATTAAACTGTATTGTGTTTTAAATGCAGCATATGTCTTGTGACACAAAAGTGTTACTATCAGCGACATTTTTGCAAATTTTGTTCCTAATAGTGAAAATTAAGCGTTTTACAGTACTACATTATTTAAACATGGAATATCTAAAGCTCTTTTCTACAACTACGGTGATTAAATTTCATGAAATTCTAAACACAAAAAAAACACAATTTTTTGTATTTGCAACGCATCACAGTAAAATAATTAACCTTTGTAATGTATGCTAATAGAACAAAAACAACACATGTGAAATAAAAACATAGCACAACTATTACAAACTTGCCCATTGAAAATTTGGTTGAATACTGTGGAATACTTTATTTTCGCTGGAATTAATTTTCGCTGAAAAGGCTTTTTGGGCGTTTTGTGTGGAATTTATGTTCACTGCTTTTTGATGAGTTTAATGTGAAATATAGGAAAAAAGTATATTCACTGGATTTTATTTTCACGGAAACATCCCTTCAGCGAAAATAGCGAAAATAAATTCCAAGCGAAAATAAAGTATTCTACAGTATAACAAACATTCCAATAAAGGATGTCAAAATATTTCTCGTTTAAATTTGCAAATTTTCGATAGTCTAGCAGCACCACAGTAATTGCACCGTGTATGGTATGGGTCCCATGTGACGTATAGGATGCATAAAAAGTAGATTCTTTGTTGATACAAAATTTGCATGTGTGCTGCACAAAAACTTTGATGCTTGAAGCGGGAGGAGCGTCACCTGCGCACGCACAGGAATTGTGTCCCAAGCAACACACACTAAAACGCAAAGACTCATGGGTAGACGCTTGTTTGTAAACAATGACACGCTATGGCCATCTGATGCCTCCCACGCTTTGACTCTGTGCCTAAATACAAATATCAATAAATTTTC